TATAATTTAATGGAGAATAATGGAGGGCCAAACGAGAGATTAAGGAATCTGATATCACATTAAAACTTGAGATGCTAACTTAAAATGTCAACAGAAGAGTAGTATATATTAGTGTATATTTTCATTTTTATTCGATGTGAGATTTGTCCCTTAACAGGCATATAGTGTTTGGATAAAACTTCAAAAAAGATAAAAATCTACAATTTGATTTTTTGCACATATAGTAGTAATCGTGTTTACCGTGGATGCAAATATAATTAAATATTTTTCACTATATATCAGAAAGAAAGATCAAATAAATCGACAAGAAATGATACTTTACATATGTATTTTGCATAATCATGCGAAAAAATTGAAAGAAAAAACTCTCCCGATTACAAATGGGAAATCTTATACATATGGTATAAAATAATTAAAAAGGAAGGATTGAGGAAAACGTTTTGAATATTAATTTTACTCTTATATATTTTTCTTTTGACAATAATGCCCTTAATTATGAACGTACCATACAATATTTTATTAGTTAAAAATTATATTATAACTCAAAAAATTAATTACAATTCAACTTTATGTAGTCTCCATTAAGTATAAAAAGAAAAAATATAAACTATATTATTTTATTTGCAGTACTTAAAATTATATGTTAATCAAATTAAGTTTTAATCACTTGAAAAATCAAAGCTCATATATAAATAATCATATTTTATAATTATAATAGAATAATTAAGAATCAAAATTCTATTTGAAATTGTAAAGGAAAACACTTAAAGGTGAACTAACAGTTATTTGGAAATAGAGAGAATTGTCGCAAATATTAAAGACCCTAATAATTAGGAGTTATTTGCCTTAACATATTTCTAGCCTCCATCCACATGCCTCCCTTAGAAATTAGAAAGATATCTACAACATTTTTTAGATTTATTTAGATTTATTTTTTTCTTTTGTTTTTCTGCATTAAATATTAAAGAGGAGATTTTTTTTTTTGAAAGCAGTTGATTAATAATTAATGCGTCATGATCGGCTTTTATTAAGTTTTGAAGGTCTTTCTTTTTTAGAGAAAAATATGTTATGAGGATAATTAAATTTTCATTTTCGCTCATTGAATTGGTTTTGTTACTAATATAATTCAACTTCGAAAGATACTTTTAAATTATATATTTTATGGTTTGTAAATTTATTAAAATAAATAAATCAATAACTACTTTAATTGTTCAATTGAGTATTTTTTTAAAAAAAGTTTTTATTTGTTCTAATGTTAAATAAATTAAATCAATAAACTTTAATTTTTAATCGAATCTCTATCTCTATAAATTTGTGTTTGACTAATGAATCAATGAAAATATATTTTTAAATTTCTCTTCCCAATTTTTTTTTTTTTTTGGTTAAAAATGAATAAAATAAAAGGGTGTTGCAATGATTGAAATCCACATTACTGAGATATGCTGTTATTTTAATATCAATTATTAAAAAATAAAAAGAGAGACCACTTTGGGCTGCAAGCATTTGAAATATAAAGATCTGTTTGATTTGTGTTTCAGTTTCAATTTTGAATTTTGAGTTCATTTTTAATTTTTAATTTTGCTAAAAAGGCATTTACTTTGTCATTTTGAAAAATTATTTTTTAAAGTAGAAAACTAAAGAAGACATGAAATTTGAAAATTTGAAAATTTGTTTTATGACATTTTATTCAATGAATTTTGGTTATTCAACAAAATAGAATGTTAATATATTATTAAGTAATATATACATTTTAAAGTTGGTGAATCTTATCATATTTTTCTCGCTATAAAAGTAAAATAAAAATAAATAATAAATTGAGTTTAAAATATAAGAAATAAAAATAAAAATTCAGGAGAATAATTTTTGATATATTTATGCTTTACAAAGATCATTAACAAGACCCAAAGACAAACATCACCTACTATTGAAATATAGCCTTTTGAACATGTATTATCTCATGGACAATTATAGTTGTGCTTTCTCGTGAAGTTTCAATGTAAACAATAAAAAAAAAAATTATTCATATATATTCATTTTAACAATTTTAATTTTTCTTTAACAATATCAATTATCTCAACTATTTTCAAAAATTGTTTTAATACTTCAAAAATATTATGCATATCATTCATTCTATACATAGGACGTGTAACGCATTTGCTTACTACTAGTAGTTATAAAAGTGAAAGAACTTATCAATTTATAACGGAAAAGTGTGCACATCAAAGAGTCATATTGTTTCGATTGGGCGTGAATATTCAAAAATATATATTATAAAAATTCTTGACTATGGTGCAATCTAGACCATTAAAAATGAAAATGTGTGATCTAATGGTCCACATTAATTTATATCAAAAGATGCAACAATTTCAAAAAGATACTTGAAAATTTATAAGTGGGACCCCTATGTCTAATTTTCCTATACAAAATCAATTCAAGAAAAAATGATTTCTAATTCTCCCCTCTATTCCAAATATTCTATTATTTTTATTTTGCTGAAATTAAATTTTGAATGAGTTTAAGAAATAGAAATTTTATTCGAGCAATTTTAGTTCATATCTATTTCGTTCATGAATAATACCGTCTAACACTTTGATTTGTTCGATAAAATTAATATAGTGCTATATTAATTTTGAAAAAAATCGTTGTATCTTGAAAGACGGACGTACATTTGATTCTATAAGCACTAGTATTGGGGGTGAAATTTATCTTGAAGAGATTTGTATTCGCATGTCTCAATTTGTTTGATCTCCTTCTAATTTATGCGTTTTAGTAAGTTGTAATTTGTGCATATTTGCATGCACATAACTTTGTTTCGATAAGTAAAAATTCTATCCAATATTTTACACTAGTAATTTGCATTTTTCGATTAAAAAGAATATAATTATTCATCAATCATCCAAAAAGATAAACTATGCATGTTCGGCTAAACATAAATACAAGTAATATTTATTTATAGTGTTTGAAACAATTAATTAGAATTTTCATGTTGAGTAAAAATCTTATTTTTAAAGTCCTTACCTTAATATGAAAATAGTTAACTATAACTTATTTATTTTTCAACAACGAATTTTTTTTTCTTTATTTTAAAACATGTTACTGTACATATAAGTAAACTTTTTAAGCTTAGCCAAATGGGTTGAAGTCCCAGAACTTGAAGCAATCAATATGCCAAGACGACTCTTTAATTATGTCTAGTCCATAATTTTGTTAAGGAAAATTATAAGCAAGTACAGAAATATGCTAATATGCTGAATTCGCTGGCAATTGCTTGGCATGTCTTATTCCAAAAATAGTGTGGTTGTAGACTATGTGATGCTGAGATATTCTGAGTGGGTTGGCAAAGTGAAGTACAAATTGACAAGAGAAAATGGTTGGAGACTTACATATGTATTGATGTAACTATCTATTTTGATTAATAATTAGGGTCTAGGTGATGGGGTTGTAATAGAATATTAAAGAGATGTCGATATTCTCCTGCACAAATAATAAGAGAGGCACATGCCAATAGCAGCATCAAAAGAGCCCTTTCTCTACTTTTCTTTATGGGACTTTTTCTTCCTTTCATTCCCCATATCTTGTGGTTCAACCATCACTTTCTTATCACATTTCAAGTCCAATTCTTTTCATCACTAAACTTTGTCACACCAAGCTTTAGCTCCCACGCCAACGCTCTGGGGGCAGGGGAGGGGGGTGGGGGTGGGTTGAGGAGGCATGGAAGGGAGTAGTTGTAATCTCGACTACATGGATACATTTTCAGGAGATCTTTTTTGAGCACTTGCAAATATTTGAGGATAGAAAGACTCATTCTTGAGGTGAATTCTTTATTTTATTTTTGACCAAAACATCATCAAGGCCTTGGCGGGGGGTTTTGTCTCGATTCCAATTCATTCTTGAGGAGCAATTACCAATAGGTTTTATTTTTGAGAAACACCTAGGGTTTAAGTTGTAATATATTAGTTAGGAATTTATTTTCTAAAAATCAAATTGGTAAAGTTCTTTTGATTGGAAAAAAAAAAAAAGTAACAGTACTCTTATTTTCGTCTCAATTTGTACTTACTATGTCATTGGATAATTTTTTTTTTTTTTGGGAGATTCAAATAACACAATGTTCAAAAAATTAAAAAAAGTCAGTACTTAATCGTTCAAATTTATCCTAAATTGCTGAAAATCCACATATGATGCCTCAAAATTCAAGTGGTCGGTATGGGATTTTTGAAGCCCTTTATTTGTTGCACCACAAGTTAATTATCTCACAACCCCCACACTCAATCCCTT